GCGCCCACGCTGAGGTCTTTCAGGTCCGACTTGAGAATAAAGTAGGCGTCACCGCTCTCCGTTTGCTGCCACTTCCAGGGTTTGTCTTTTCCCGAGCCGCTTCCCGTCAGGTAGTCCTTGGAGAGCTCCTGTTTGCATAGCTCTACCGCCTCGTCCACGACCACAGTGTCAAAGAGGTGCTCCGGTTTCCGTCGAATGTAGTATCTGTCGGTCTGTGGAACAGAAGAAGAGGTGGAGTCAGGAGACGCTTACTCAACAGTATGTTGTGGGTTACGATAACTCAAAGACATCCGGTTCAAAAAATGTACATCTTAGAGTATTCACCCTCAGGTCCATACGGCACGGTAGCTGGGCTGTAGCATGAAATCTCAACCGGAATTCTGCAATGTGTTTTCCACTCAAACAAAGTACGGTAACAGTTTAGTTGGTCACACACCTTAGATACTCCTAGCTGCTAGGCATGTGGTTGCTTTTAGCTTTATTAACTTTCGTTTCATTTTTATTTGGTTAGTTTAATTTTAGGTTACTTTTAGTTAGATACCGTCAAAGTTAGATAAGTATGCATAATTAAGTACTAAATACTAAAGCAAACCAACTAAACTTAGGTAAACTAAACGAAACTAACTAAAATAAAAACTAAACCTAAAATTAAACTAAAAAACTAAACTAAAACCACCGGCCCCGTAAGGCAAAATGCTGGGTCTGGGGATATCTAACGTGGGTGACCAACTTAACTTTTATACAAATTACGTAAGTAGGACTGTATACCCGAGTAGTAGGATGCCGAATTTTCAACAAGTTCCTTTTCCGACGCCTGTCAAGTCCACACTCTGTAAAAAAGAACCACTTAAGTAGTATGGGCTTTTCCCATTGATCTTCCGAGCCTCCATAAATTTGAATATGCGTTAGTGAAACCATACCTAAAAGTATTCTTTCTTGTATACGTTTGGTAGCAGGCTTTCAAGGTTTCTAAACTACAGGCCGTAAACAGTCTGTTTAAGAAAACATCATAAATTTATCTATGCTCCGACGAAGAGGTCGTACATTTCTCATATAATTATGCAGCAGGTTTGGATCCCTTTGTATAGTTTATAGGCAAGATTAACAACCTAATGGATACCATGCTCTATGAATGAATATTTTGCGGGCCTAGGAAATTCTCTCGAAAGTAGAAAGTATTTCAAACCAAAAGACAAGATTTCTTCGATCATACTGACTGAAGGTAGAATATGCTACTAAACGGGTACATAAAGAATATGCTTAGGCAGGTTTTCCATAAAATATACTTGAACGTCTAAAGTCATAAAAAATCAATTCGAAACTTTCATACTAATTAAGTAGTGGTTTTTTTGCTTATTACAAACAGTCAGACAGAAGCTCGCCCTGAAGTCGTCATCCTGCCATGACTTAGCTATCTTGCGATTAAACTGTACGATAACCAATATTCTATTTAATCCTGTTTTCATCGAAAATATATGTCAGAATTTTGGTTGATATATCATGTGATATACTCATTTAACTGTTGTTTGCTGCATTAGTAACTGCCCAAGGCAAGGCAGAACGGAAAGAGTGAACTCAGTTTGCGATCAGCAGAGCCTTCATCAGCGAATGTCTGCTTAGTCCTGTATCTCCGTAAAACATACTGCTGCAAGGACCAAATACTACGTGGGGAGGGAAGATTTACAGAAGGCAAATCCCCTAGTGAGGCAAGGACCGTCAGACAAACGTCAGTGAAAATACCACGGCTTCAAACTTTTGTCCGGAAACTGTCTTTTCACACGGCATGCGATCCACTAGATTCTTCGCATAAACCGCTTCCTCCTCCTAGCAGGTAATGTTCGAACAAACGACCTTGAAATGCCAATTTTAAATATGTGCGCATGTGTGCGTGAGTCAGGCAGGCAGGAAGGAAGTAACTTGGTTCAAGAGATTAACATCAAAAAATACAAAGACTTACGGCGGGCATAGGGAGACCCACGGTGCATGTAGACACGGCCAGGAGACTTGCAAGGATAGCGTAGTGACAAAAGCGGCTCATTTTGTTACTTTTTCTCTTCACGCGACAAAAAAGAGAGAGAGACTTCTGGTGGTGTTGATTGCTAGACGCAGACGACGGTTAGACGACGGGCCCACACGGTGTTGCAGAGAAACCCGTGTCACCAATATGTATTAAGAGCCCAAGCGGCGCGTTTTTTATGCTAAATGCATTCTCCGTAAGAGCGCAGACGATTGGCCCCGGCTGGACCAATCAGCTGGACGGCTAGAGTTTGGGGTCAGTTGCGAGCACATGCACGCGACAGCAGGTCCTGACTGGACAACGCTGTCAGTAACGTGTCAGTAACCTGATGACACACACATATACGCAAATGTCACCGAACGCGCGCTGATTCATCAATGGCTGCCTGAACTAGACCAGCGGCCAGAACGCTTGCCCATGGTTTCCATGATTTAAGGCCATTTCCTTGAAAGTGAAGCAAACACAATTGCCT